TCTGCAGATTAGTATAGTGAGATAGTTCTTTCTCGTTAGAGGTCCTCAGCTAATCGATTACGTTGTATCTTCGTAAACGAGGTTTTGTTCAATAAATCTTAATTTTCTAAAGTTTTGAAGATTCTTGATCTATCAGCCTCACAATATCAGTATACAATTACCTTGCGGTTTGGCTTTAGTTCCAATAACCGCGAACGAGAAATCATCGGTATTCAATGAATTCGTAAATTTATTGAACTGTTCCTGAAGTATATTATAGCTTTCAAGAAGTGAAGTTAATGCTTGATCTTTAGATTTGCAGAGTTTTTCCATTTGCAAAATGAACACAATCGAAAACGCTGCTGATGAAAGTGAGTTATACAATATATTAATTGGAATATAGTCTGCCATGTCCTCCAAAGACTTTTTCGAATTGTTATTATTTAATACAAAATAAGCATTGATGGATAGAACTGCTGCCAAATAAATGTTTATCCATACAATTTTCACTTTCTCTAGCCATTCTTTACAGAACGTAAAATCCTTTTGAAAGTTCGACTCTTTCATGTTCGAGTTCAATATATGTGATAAATATGATAAATTTGCTAACGCCATAAATTCTGAAACTTTATACTTGATCATGAAAGTTAGATTTTGGCAGTCTGACATTCTCACAGTAAGCTGCACAATATTTAAGATGTGCCAGATGGTTACAGCAACTGATAAAATGTTTCGAATGGTTAAAATTGAAAGACGACTTCCACAAATTTGTGATCCATTTAGTGTAAATAGTTCTAGAAAAGTGATTTCTTCATTTTTTAATACGTTCCGATATTCAGAGGAATTACTGTAAAAGGCAAATATTATTATACGTTAGGAGTTTGAGGTACGTTTTGAAAAGTAAATGTCGTCTTTATTAAGCAAAGTGTGGCTCAAAGGTAACTGAATCAAATATGCTAAGCTTCAGTACTTTCGAATTGTATACCTTGATCGTATTAACTTGTCATTCGCACTCTTATAGATTCTCAAGCTTTCCATTATATGCATTGTAGCGACAATGATTAGAGCAAGAATAAATAAAAGCGACAGTATTGCATAAGAAACTCTTGTCTTTTCTTCGTTCATTGATGGTCCGGTTACGTTTCCTCCTGTTATATCAGTGATGTAAGCCTGCTGATAGCGACCCAGAAAGATTACAAGTAATATGAAATTTACCATTTCCATTATAGTAGGAGTATTACGTATCAAGCAACAGATACCGTTACAAAATTCTATTTTAAGCATGTTGCTAAAACCAAACATTTACGATCCATCTACAGTATGATATAGTATATTTGTAATAAGTTCTCGAGCAAATGTAGAGACAACGTATTAGCAAAGAATAGAACTTTACTACGAATTATAAGTGCGAACTAATAAAGTATGACAGCAACGCTCATATATATAGTCTATCATGGAATATTCTAGAACTTATTAGTACTTATTTATTTATTATAATATACATGGACTGAATATTCTAGAAAGTTCTATATGTATACGAGGTTCAAATATGTGCGCATCTAAGACTGACCCTTACGAAGTCACTCTACTAATACTATGACAATAACCCCTTCATACTTACATATTCTCTATTTCCTAGCATTTGTCATATGGCATTACCATACTTGTAAAATAGGAATTCGTACGATAACGACTAAATTTTATTTGAAAAAGAAACAAAGCTAATATTACCATCAGCTATTTAGGAGAAAGTTTTACGAAGGCACGAAAGAAAGGTTAAAACTGGTCAATGGTACAACACTATGATCAACTTGGAAGTTGATCCCAACCCTATTCATCAAGAAGCTGATCAAGGCCCAAATTTTGACCCAAAAATATGCCGTAGAGACTGTCTTCATTCCAAGAATCTCCCTGTTTCACTTCCTGTTATTCAGACAGAATACTGTACAGTTCACCCAACTCGTTACTAAAGCTACCGTACCGTGCGTACAGAGCGATGTATTGTACATTGTACAGTACCGTACAGTATACCGTAAGACTTGGCGCCAAAATGGGTCATTTCAAAAACAGTACTGTACACTTCACTGTACTGTACAGTACAGTGTACAATAGTATACCTAATTTCAGCTAGCTATTCCTTGGTAATTTTTTTTAGACAAACCTAACTAACTTATGTAGTAAGTAAAGTTTACAAGAAGTTATAGTTATTTTATTACATTATAGCGTCTTTTCTTTTGTATTATGGAATAAGACTGAATGAGTTGCGGATATTTCTAAAAATAAAAATTAGATTCATTTAGCTGTAAGTTGTACTGAAAACCTAGTAATCCTATCAACTAGATGGAAGAAAGATAGAGCTGATGGTGAAATCTATCGGTTTTTATATTAGCCACGCAATCATATATTTAATCCCTTTGCTGCACTCTAGTATTACGATGATAGTTCAAATTAATTAAACTTCAAGTATACAATATTTGCCAAAATGATATTTTCTATGCAGTTTTATTTAATAACTTCATTTTTACTGATTTTAGCTTTACACAAGGAATTCCATTTAATAGCTTTGCCAAATGTACATCATAGTCACGATTTAATGCGCAATTAATTAATCGACGATCCTCGGCTTACAGTAAACTATGAAACTGCCCGTCCTAGTTTAAACTTCAAACCAAACGCATTCTTAACATTTGAGATGAAATAATGTAAATATTCGTTTATCTGAGGCTTAGAATTTACCGTGATGTCACAAAAAGTGTACGATAATAAAGCTCCATCGTACATCAGGTACAGAAATATTGCTTTTTAAATAGACAATTTTATCGGCGGAATATTTGACGATGAGTGTACGATAGTAAGGCTCCATAGTAAATCAGGTATACTGTAAAGTAAGATGCCGAAGAAGAAAAGTAAGGAAGACTCGTTGTGCAAACTATAAACACGCATGTATTGTATGTACTGTAGGTATCATATATTATAGCTGAATCATATTCATGCTATATTGTATAATACTAGTACAAACTACCGTCGCTTTGCTGAAAGTTTACGATAATGTACTCATTTGATAATAATTAACAGATAGTATTACCATTCGACATCATACAGTATATATCCCGGTAACAGCCAGGCACTACTATATCCACAGCTATGCTTGCAGAATACTACTTTTCAATAATGCATTCACGGATGAAATGCTATGAAATGCTATACTAAGATTGGTTAATGGAACAAAGCACATTATGATAACGAATGTACGGTGATGGATATACCAAGTTAAGATTAGCAGGTACTGTACAATGTCTTTAGTACTGTGGTCAATTCTATACCAATCATTTTAAAGTGTCTAAGGATCGCTTGCGTATGCAAGCAAAGATTGCTTTGTCGATAACAACCGTTATAAGACAATGTAACAATCAAAATCTGACTTACGGTAACCTTTCGCTCCCTTTACCCGAAAGTTTAATCTCTCCTACTTTAAACTGGACTATGATCTTTACTTTATCCATTTTCATTGACATCTTCTGTTTCTTCTATAAATTCGAAAACAGCACGTAGGTAAGCTTACAAGGTATGTTAATAACTATGCTATAATGTTAAGGAAAAATTAATAGAATAGTTACCCATAATAATCGAAAACGATGCAGTGTTGACAAGTTAAAGGCGTTATTGCTGTCCTAACTATAACGTTCCATGTCAAAATTTAACGTGAATGAACTGATACGGCTCAAAATGATACAATGTTATATTGTATAAGAATTTAATTGACAATACCTATAAGATATAGACATTGCATAGCATTATCATAACGATGAACGTAATAGCTCGTTACGCTACTTAAAATACTGTGCAGCGCCACTGTGATTAGGGTAGAATGATATTAATTCTGTAATTATTTTAATCTTGTTCTTTAAAAATGACAGGAATGGATGCCGTGATATTAAAGGTGAATTTAGTATCTTTGAATTATTTGTACCTAGCTACTGAATAAGACGAGTAAATGGAAACTTGGTATCTGCTATCAATTTTATAGGCCTAGTAATAACTGTAGCCATCGGTTTATATCTTATTGGCGTACACTGGTATTGGGCACCTATAGGGAATGACCAGGAATACATACACCTGTTAAGAATGAATGATTCTGAAATTTTCGGACTGTTGTTTGTATCTTGTTTACTTGGTATTCAAACCAAATTCCATCAAGATTAGCTAATTATTTAAAAGTTGTAATGATGCTTTATTTGGTGCTATCTCTAAGTGTTATGACTCAAATTGAAGTGGATCGTTTATCGTAAACCGAGATAGTTTTAATAGCAGAAGGGCTTTTAAAATTTGTGCTAGCGTGAAAGTTTACTTAAATGAATTGGAAGCGATTTATGAGTCACAGGAACAGGTTCTTCTAGAATATCGGAAATATTTAAATAAAATTCAGAAACAATTTCAGACATTTAAGACTTCAACAATCAACGAAGAATCTATATGGATGAAAGAGATTGAAATCCCATCGCCTGAAGATATGGAAAGCATTGCGGAGATATTTAAGATTTCTATTAGTCCCAGTGATTTAGTAGAAAACTGTCCTCAGTCTGAAAGTGAGAATATCAAAATTAAGATTATGTATGATGCAATAAAGGACTATGACTGGAGCTATGTGAAGTTGCTAGTATTCTTTGAAGAAGGAGATTTTCCTCCCAGCCCGACAAGAGAAGCGTATTTAGATAAGTATGCACGGTTAAAATTTTTCTATGTAGTGAAAGTACATGTAAGCAAGCAGCTGCAAGTTTGGCTTCGAATTTGGAAGAAGAATTTAAATGTAATAAATTTAACTTTGTACAATTTCTAAGAAGTAATACCAGGAATTTAAAAGATATATTTACCCTACCGCAGTGATTCTATATACTGTCTTTCTCTATATTCTCATGATAATACGTGAAAGAGCATTACCAGAGGTAAATTGGACAATTTTTCTACAGGTCTTGGTCGAATATGGATATATATTCTTAGGTCTAAGACTAATAATTAATTATTGGAAGAGTCATATCGAATCGGATACGACGCTGAAGTTTAACAAAATGTACGTTCAGAAAATTAAACGTAGGGTGAAGAAAATTAAAAGGAGCAGATTCTTTTAAAAATCATATTGGCAAGAATTTGTATCTGGTACAATTTGGAAATCGGTTCAGAAAATATGTTAGTTATGGCATCTCTATCTGCTGAAATGCTTTAACACATTAGCGCGTTATTGTGTTATTTTGCTATTTTTGATTTTATTATTGCCGTCAAGGTGTTTCAGTGACTTAAAATTTGGGAAGTTTTTCAACAAAATACCAGTATTATGGAGTGAACGTTAACTTTTAGAATTTTCCTTCAAGTTTTTTAATTGTAATCATCCTAGCTTAGAATTTGTATCTTGATAAGTATTCTAGCTGTAAATATATGCTTCATTTAGTTGATTTTATAAGGGTAGATTTTACTTAATATCTTAGTATATTGTAAACCCGAATGTTTTATTCGGGTTAGAATTTTAAGATGGTCCGTAGCATAATTTTCGTTAAGAATCAAATAAGGTGAGTTTGTAATTCAAGTGATATATTTAGTCAATAGAATATATGTATGCTAATTTTGATCATTAATTACAGTAGAAGTTAATGCTACTATGTAATTTCATACAGTACTAGTGCAAACTTCCGTCGCTTTGCTAACGGTTTACGATAATGTGCTCATTTAACAGATAGTACTACCATTTGATATACCTATCAGAGGTTCAGTAACTATTTACCGTTTACTGTACTGTACAGTACGTAAGTACAGTACTTTTGTACAGCATACAGTACAGTACAGAGTACTGTACAGTACTTTAACTTAACAGTACTGTTACTACAAACTCCCGTCGCTTTGCTGACGGTTTACGATAATGTGCTCATTTGTTAATAATTGACTGATAGTATTACCATTTGATAGACCTGTTAGTGTTGTTAAATTATAAATCTAAAAAACTAATCATTAGCCTTGCACTTGAAAACGTCTTTTCTCCTTTATTGTCAGTCTCCGTCTGTTATTATATCATCCCTGGCGCGTACCGATACGGTCCGCAAACAAGTGTACAGTATACTGTAAAAATGTATAATTTTAAGTTAAACTATACTTATATTAATTTAATAGTTTTCGGGATAGATGTGTTGAAACTTGTTTTACTAATACGTGTATAATGCGTTATTCTGGACGTATTATGAACGTATTACATAAGCAATTGTTGAAATTATATTAACCAATAGAAGCATGAGCGCCCTATACCAGCTTTTCGAAAATTTTGAATCGTATAAGGCTTGAGCGAGGGTAACGTTCAGTGCAAGACTCCTATAAATATGACAAAGAACCACATGCACCACTTTCATAATAGTCAAGAGTTTACTGCAAGCTTACCCTTGCCTAACCTAGAACTTCAAAAATAGAGAGCTTCTATAACACGTTCGCTCTTACAATCTTCTATGCTGATGAATGGGCAAAAGGTATGCAATAATTACGATTATTAGTAAAGAAATTCAGCGAAAAGAGGATACGAGTTGCAATATAAAGCAGTAAGGCACTTTCTATTGTATCATTAATACGGCGCATATAACTATAGTTGAGGTTTCAGAGACCAAGTCCCGATACTCTCATCAAAATACATCAGAAATTAGTAATTATAGTTTAGACATAACTATATCCGTATTGAAAAAGTTTATAAATAAAGCAAATGCTTGCAATTTTACTGACTGTAGCTGTATTTGTAGGTATTAGTAACCTTATTAATCTTTCCAACTGCTTTCGAAATACTACAGTATTTATAAGTTGTGTATCTTTAAAGGTCGTAAATAAAATTACCACAAATTCTTTCTATGAGAGTGTTATCACTATACGTGGACCTTTTGGTATTATAAGACTCAGCTCCTTGTACGAGGTAGGCCAGTCCATACCTGCATTAGTTTTACTCTGCTACTCACGCTAGGTGAGTATTTCAATTTATAAAAGTTTCTGGCTTTCATGCTCTACCTTTGCCTTTGAATAACAATTTTGGAGAATCATAAAAATCTAGTATTATTTATCTTTATCCTCTTGACTGATAATCATTAAGGTGGAACATCTGCAGAATGCAGAATATCGGAATGTTAGCACTCTATGACGCAGCTAACGGTAACTGGTAGTATATATTGCAGTTTTAAATTTGAAATATAACTTAAGAAAAGTCTATGATCTATTATCTAAGTAAACCCTTATTACTTGAATTCTATACGTTGAAACTCTGAAATCATAAGCAATAACATACAGTAGATCACATCTATAAAAAAATAGATGAATCGTATATTAAGACTATAAGATTATAAAAGTGGCTAGAGAATGTCTAATTGCATCTAGCTATTCCCTGGCAGTTGTTATACGCACCTAACTTATGTAGTAAGTAAAATTTACAAGAAGTTGTAGTTCTTGTTTTATTTTTGAGAAGACATTTTATTACATTATTCCCTTTTCTTTAGTATAAAGGAATAAGACTGAATGAGTTGCGAATATTGCTAAAAGTAAAAGTTAGATTCATTTAACTGTAAGTTATACTGCAAAACCTAGTAATCCTAGCAACTGGATGGAGGGAAGATAGAGTTGATGACAAAATCTATCGATATTCAGATTAGTACTTCAGATTAATTGTACTTCAAGTATACAATATTGCCAAAATGGTATTTTCTATGCAGTTTTATTTAATAACTTCATTTCAACTAATTTTAGTTTTATGCAAGGAATCCCATTTAACAGCTTTGCCAGTGGTTATCATAACCACAATTTAGTGCGTATACATTCAAATTTTCATGTAATTTTGGCGAAGCAGTACCTTGCAGTACCAAAATGACGGCAAATTGTTGTAGATAAAACATCATTGTCGATATCAATTTCCTAGATACTAGATATGATGAGAATTAAAAACACAGTAAATCCTACGGATATAAATTAATCGTGATCAGATTAAGAGAAGAAATACTTAAGATTACAGCATGAAATGATTCTCTTTAATACATGTATCAATAAACATTTACAATTCGGTGATAAACCGTATAAGGATAACAAAAATGAAAATGAGACATCTATTAGCTAATCTTCTCCGTCGGGGTGTAGAAATGGCGTAATATCAGACACTTTGGTTATTTCGGAAGCGTTAAAAGTTTCTGAACACATCGGACATGGAATCTCATCCTCAATAATTCTGTTATCAAGTCGATAAAGTTAATATGTTGACGATTTCAATACCCTAAAGAGATTATTAGTAAATTCTATCATAAAAATAGATAATCACTTACGATTTAAAATCTTCATATAGAGCAGGAAAATTACACTTTGGACAATTAGTCCATTCATCGACAGTCATATGGCGTCCCTAATCAATCCGGTAAATAATCAGTTAATCAAAGAACAACAGCAAAATCACAATTATTTGTCTATTAAATTCGTAGTATACCACAAATAAAGCGCAGTCAGATCATTGAGTGATATTATGGCAGTTAACTTAAATATTGGCTCTATTTTTTGATAAAAGCCTACCGTAACTATGCAATATGGGATAGTATTTTTACAGTCAGGACAATCAAGTTGTGTTTGAGGTAGCTCATATTTGCAGAAAGGACAGGGTTGTTGAGTTTCTTCTACTTCAGACTTATCTGGTTTTCTATATCGAATTATAAACAAAATGATCTTCTTTACTTTATTTTCATTTAATTACTTAGCAATCGCTAATATTTCAATTTCGTTTGCAAAACTTTTTAATTGAAAATAACCTGACGATTTGTTCTATTTTCTTTTTATACTTTAAATCTATTTTATTACGATATTCTGGGCGAACCAGCATAGCCGCATAGCCGAATGCAGAATTTTTTAATCCAGATCGATGGCATTCGATAATAGTAGAGGTCAAGATTGGTACAACATCTAGGGAGGTAAAAAATATTAAATTCTTAATTTTTATCCAGTAGGAATAACGTAACGTTAATCGTTGATATACAATCATATTTCGTTGTATTATACTAGTAATATTACTACTTACGTGATCCAAATTTACTAATATTATTTGCTACTCTAATTAGCATTCTGGCTGCTTTCACATGATCGCCCCGTTTTACATGCATCTATATCAACATGGTGGAGAAAGCATTAGTTTAAGGTTACCATCTCATAACACATGAATCAGACTAGATCATACCTTGACTAATATATAACTATGTAAAATCATAAGATTCTGAGACATTTCCGAAGGTATCTTAATTTTTTGCTTGCGTAATTCTGTGATCAATAAAAATGAAGAATTATATTTGCTTTAAACTTAAGAACTCGCACAACTTTTACTTCGCTGAAACAGGATTTAATTTCACGTAATGATTATCCGAAATATAAGTAAGTATGTCAACTTTTTACTTTGTACCTTGACACATGCTAAATAGCAGATCATGAGCAACTCTGTAATTGCCTGAAATTGATAAAAAATATTTAAAGCCTTATTTATATTTACTTATATACGGTACAATAACAATTTAATGGAGTAAAAATATTCATTTAAGGCTCTTACCTTGGGTTTGTTCTTCTCTAGCAATAATAATTGCTGTTCTAGCAGCTTCACGATACTGGCGAAGAGCCATATATAATCGAAACAAATAGGTGGCATCCTGTGGTTCAAAATCAAAGACGATTACAATAAGATTCAATTTGCATCTTTAAGTTTTGGAGGAGTTCTTTAATTATGAAAGTTTTTTAGCTTCAAAATCCATACTCAGCAATTATAGATTCAATAGCATGCAAATATTTTACGACTTTGCGACTAAAACTTGCTAAAATATTATTACTTTAGGTACACCATCTACTTCGCCCATTAGGTAATCAATTAATTGATGAGTTAATGCTTCATCTTGAGCGCGACCAACCTAACGGTTATAGAAGCAAAAATTACCACGTTGTATTTTATGGGCAGTTTTTCAATTCTTGAAATTGTACTACGCGATATACATACAGTTTCAATTGCCATGTCAATGCTTTTATTTCCTTCGCCAGGTGGTTGAGTACGCAAAAAGTACTTCAATGCCTACTCAATGTACAAATATTCTAGTATTTATAGACGTTTAAATGAATTCTATTCATTAGCGATACGAAATCGCTTGAGTAGCGGAATATTTGGTTAAGTTTTACCTTGACATATTTTGTGGCCTTCAAGAAGAATTTACCAGCTAAGAAATAATATTTTCTATTTTCAAAATATAGAGCTATGCTCTCGTATTCTTCGCTACTAGCATCGTCTCCTGCAATTAGAGAAGCATCGCGAGATGTAATTTATACTCATATTCTAAACAGTTATTTGCGATATATCCGTGAATAAATATCGACGCATTAGAGACATATACTGTAGACCATAGCTCATGATGCACTGCTAATAAATTCTTAACATTTTATATTCGATACTAAGCAAAATATTGTACCTATTATTTCGGCATATAGTTCCATTTGATCATGCGTCTATAATAGAGAGTTATGAAATAATATTTATTAAACTATTGCTCTAAAATTAGTTAAACGAATTTGCCGTACCGTTGCTAGTTGGAAAGCTTCGTTTGTACACTTGGACATAATAAGAAATTGAATTGCTGAAGCAAAATCTCCAAGTTTTTGAAAAAATCTGTAATATTGAAATGCATATAGTAATAGTTAGACAACAATCGAGAGCAAAATATTATTAAACAAATCTCTACGAATATAAAACTTTACCCATAAGATATACAGTAGTTATAAAATTACGGTATCTTGCAGATTAAATACTAGCACTGAGTGATGTAGCCATATCAATGATCTTTTTCTTTAATAACCAGCTAATTAGTGTTATAATAGGATACTCACAATGCTACCATTTTAGCACCTTCGACAGAATGAGTCTCTCGGACTATCCTAACTGCTTCTTCTGGCTTCTGTAAATGCTCTAAATTGATTCTATAATATCATTTTAAGAGCAGATCATATTTCAGTCAGGTATTGTACGAGTTATTCTATATCATACGATTAGTTCCAGTAAATATTAAATTCGGTATATTAGTTTGCCTACCTGATAACGCTATCAAAGTCTTTGGCATTTTCATAAGCGCGAACTGCATCGCTATATTTACCATCAGCTTCCTTGGCCTTAGCATACTGAGCATGGATTTTAAGAGAAGAAACTTCAGGAAGTAATTCTCCCACTTTAGCCCTGTTATATTAAAATTATGCAATGAAAGAAAGTATCTCCTGAAATGCTAAAGCTTCCAAAGAACAATATTTTTTAAATATCCTGCTATTATACTAACCAGTTCTTGGTTCTAATATAGATGGTAGCAGCTTTATCGAAGTATTGGCCTTTCTCATATAAAGCTGCAGCCTCAGGAAATTGCTAATGTGTTGAAAAGAGAGTTAGAGATTTTCAGTTTATTACGTACGAAAGAGAAAATATTTAGAAATCTTATCTGCAGCTATACTAACTTTCATTCCTTCTAGCACAGTTGCGCATTCTCGACATAATTGACGATTTCCTGATTTTGCAGCTATACCAACGCCCCTACATTTCAACAAAGATCGATTTACTATTAGTCTACGTCTTCCTGTACTATCTTACTAAATAAGATTATATTAGGCATAAAAAATAATTTTACCTTCGGATATCTCCTACACGGATAGCCATTCTTGCTACACCAGCAGTACAAATAGCATTATCTTCACTTTTCTAGTTAGGTTAAGTAATTGGAAACTCACGTTTAATTAATTCCTAGACACACGCTTCGAGTAAATTTTGATTTTGGCCGCTAACCTCATTATCGTTTGTTAATCCGTTCTCGTAGTTAACTAGTGCATTCGGATAATCGCCCCTGAAATTATATAAGGAAATTTTTACAATCAAATTTACCGATAGACGGCAAAGTGATATCGTTATGGTTTGATTTTTAACATGAAATTTTCTGACATATATTTGAACGAATGATATTACATGAATTCTAATTGTTGCGCGTATTCCTTGGATATGTAAGCGACTTCTTCCTGCGAAAAGTTTTTGGCCAATTGCAATGCCTGATCCCAGTGATGTAAATCACATCGCATCTATGAATCAAATTATACTCTAAGAATGGCTATCGAAGTATTGATCGTATATTACGATAAATTTAAGTAATATTTAGTTATTTTAAACCTCTAAAGCCACTTTGGGATTATTTGATGTTAAAAAGAGATCCTATAGTTTAGTTAAATGGCTTCATAAGTGATAATCATTATAGAAGTTTTATTATTGATATTGTATGTAAAGTTTCAACCCCGGCAAAGACATCAATATTCTTTAAAAATTAGCTTACTTGGGCAAGATTATATTCTTCTAAGAATAGTGCCATGTGCCCAGCGAGTAAATATTTATTCTCAACATTCTATTTATTATTACGTGAGAATATAAAGCAAATTACATTTGTGAGGGTAAAAAAGATTTGATTCATAAATTAAATAAGGGCTTACTTTTACACTCTCTAACGACAGGACCATCCCAACATCTTTCAGATGACGATAGACACGTACAGCTAGAGTGAAGAAACGTTGATACAGTAATAGTAAAGATCGGCATTAATAGAGATCATAAAGCTTTCGATTTCGGTATGGTGCAGTGAATTCTAGAATAGCACTGCAGATGTACCTTCCTCAATTTCTAAATTCTGAAGCGCTGCTTTACCAATTTCTATCCAGAACTGTTTCTGACTTAGCTGGGTAGCAATATTCCAAGCATCTTTGAAACTATATATTCAATGCTTGGTCGTCAAGTTTAGCTCAATCTAAATTCTATCGAGCTAAAAGTCGAATGGACTTACCGTCTAAGAGAGAGGCATTGGGTAAGGGCAATTCTTAACTAACATAACGAGTTAAAAATTAGCGTTAAAACTAATCTTCTACTAGTTACAATAAACAACAAAATGAAGCTATATCAACATACTTCTTCTTCCACTAGTTCATCCAATCTACTGAATCGGCTATGGGTAGTCAAAACCACCCTGGCTGTCTGTAGGTTTTAAATAAATATCGATTAAAAATGAATGAAATAAACAATGAGTAATCGTTCTAAAAAATGTACCTTGCCATTCTGTGTTTGGCATATTACTTCCCCATCATACAAAAGAAATGGCACCTGATTGAATGGTAGCTTGGTTTTGCCAATTAATTTACATTCAGGGCCTATCATAGTTTTATTTAAAGCCAATTACAATTTAGACGATTTAAAAGTCTAAATTGAGTTTATAAAACATAAAGAGCTTGCTTTAAATGTTTAATTGGCAAATCTTACCAAAGATACTGTCGCTCCAATAAATATAAGTATACACGTTTTGATCGTCGTAGGTGCAAAACACTCCCTAAGTACAGCCATTTCAAATTAGATTTATTATTGTAAGCTTCTGCAACCGTTGGTAGAATAGTAAAAAGTTCAGAATAATAAATATTACTTTATCGCTGGGCCAGCTTTCCCAGAGTACGCCTTTAACGGTTGGAGAGAAATCTGGGATATCGACTGTTGCGTCATTGATCTGTAATGATTTAATATTAATAGAGTAAGAAAAATGATAAATCGAAAATAAAATATGACTCAAAATATATAATATAACTAAATCATATTCATTCTCACCGGATTATAAATAAAGCCATCATTCTTATCATCAATATAAATAAGTATGGTTTCTGATGGATTACAGCAAACTTTGCGTATGCCTATTAATAAATAAAGCAAAGAAAGTCTAGTATACGATTTGAATACTCAGTTTTTAGTCTATTCTATTCTAATATTACCGATTCCATGGCGATATTCGTTAACAAATTTCCAATCTTCGATATAAAAGTATTGAATATTACCAGCCTAAAGGTGAAGTTAGAAATAATTTGATATTATATGCAGAAATTACTAGGTCATATTGGTTGCAGATAACGAGATGATTTTAAAAATCTACTGTGATTGGATTATGAACCGAAATTCTTAATAATTTAACAATACAAGAGGCTGATTCGTTTTGCTATCTATGAAAGAAATTACTTAGACTTGTAAGTTAGAATCATGTCTACTAATTAACGACAGAACAAGGTAATCTCATTAAATTGCTTAACAAATTGTTAATATTTTATCGTTGAAAAACTATCTGGACACTTTAATTTAAAGTGAAGACTGAAATAGCCCTAGCAATTATGTTAATAACAGTATGACATGAAATTGAGACGTTTGATTACGGGATCAGATTAATAGTCAAAGTAATAAATACCAGATATAATTATATGCTATATTGAATTAACGTAATTAATGCTGCAGCAGTTTATTATAGCTGATAGGTTCTAAAATATTTAAAATTGATTACAGAACGAAAAGTCTAATAGACAGCTGAAATGGGTTGTTATCTACTTACATCACTGCCATAGATAAGAAAATTTTTTGTTAAATCATAGCATGTGATGACAGTTTTATCATCTTCCTCAGGGAAAAGTTTAGTCTCTCGGTCATGCCCTAAACCACTTTCATCTGTTTCAATCTGTTTCGACATTGGTAAAGGTATTTTAGAGGGTTATTTATGTAGCAATTTTAATTACTGATTACAGTAATTCAAAAATTGTTTAGCTATTACATTACCAAATGTAGTTGAATTTTGTTTTTAAGCATGGCAGCAGCATAATCAGAATTAAGGCGAATAGTACTGACTGTACCCAAATAATCTTTCTCATTAAGTTTTTGGGGACCAGACTCTTCGAAATAGTAAAACCAGACTCGATTATTCATACCAACAGCTAAATGGTATGGACCTAAGGCTATAAAGGAAGGCTCGACTTCAATATCGATTTTTAAAGAGTTTTCTTCCTGTAAATTATCATAATTATAGAGAATTGACGTTATTGAAAATAGATGAATTTGGGCATGTATACCCATAATTCCATTGAAACAAGTAGGACTATCATATACATATCGAACGATAATTATAGATTACCTCATGAAAATTAGGTAGCACTGTTACTTCTAATAGCGATGTTAAATAAGCTAGACGCATCTCATAACCACAGCCAAGTACCGGAAGTCTTGTTAGGTGAACATGAACATTACCTGAAATTGCGAAATTATATTTACAGTTATTTTCTCACTTTGACTAAATTATTTAGCATTGTTATCATAAATCTCGGTAGACCCTTTTGTGTAGCTATGGCAAGCAATTGGCCATCATCGGTCCATTCTAATTTCATCAAGTTATCTAGAAGAATAAAAGTGATAAGCTTTTACGTAAATAGTGCGGCGAGATAATTAATTATATTATGGTGTTCCGTTTTATATTATTTATGAAACTCAAAAATACCCTTAGTAGAAATATTTTACCTTTTTCATCTTCAAGAGAAATGACTCCGTAAATTTCCTTCAAGTCAGATATATCGTGAATTTTAACACTATGTAGAAAGATAAAGATCGGTAGAATAATTGAGACGCATGTCTTTTAGAAATTTGTAAATGTAATAAAATTTAACTTGTTTTAATGTGGTTGTGATCATTGAAGTCAGAAAACTAGCATTAATTTTCACCTGGAATCACCGCATGAGGCTGCTTTACCAAGAGAAAATGAGATACTAACTGAGCCAAGATAATCTTTAAAATCTCGGGTTTGAAATAATTCCTTCAATATCAGGAGAATCATTTTAATTGTTCTACATTGAAATTTAATTTATTGAACTTTTCATCTCTAAATCTCAAACTATTTGAAAACCTGTCCAATTTCCTTCATATGGGTAGAAATAACCACAAGGTAGCCATTTGAGAACCCAATCATAATGTAGCCATCACCATACCTTTTAGAGTTATATAGATATTGTTAAAGATATTAACTACAGTAAAAGCCCGAATATTAGCAGACTTACCATCGATAGGAGACAATGTTTCCGTATCTCGGCTTTAAATGCAAATATAGATACAAGAGTCACAAGGATTAATTTTAGAGCAAGTAATAGTATTCACTTCCACTTTAAATTATAAGCTATTGTTATACCTGAAAAGCCAACTCAATGGGATTATCTGGATCATCAATATTGAACAGAAATAGTGTCTTTTTAGCAATGATGACACTAACCTGTTTGATAGTAAAAAATCATACGATAGGTAATAATTAGAACCAGCCACATGTGATTATGTGAGGATGTTAACATTAAAGTTTGTTACCGTAGTTTCCTCGGTGTTACTTTTCCTTTCATCTGTTTTCATTGTCGAAAATTGTATATTTGATGGCTCCCCTCGAATTGCAGGCTGACATAAACAAAATTAGGATTGCATGATAAGCTTTGGATTGCTCATCAACCTTGGTAGTAATTTAGGTTATAGATTACCTGTCGAATTGTATCTCCGTCAACATTGCTGATAGTGATAGTCTTATCTTCGGAGCCTAGGGCGATAAGATTCTGAAAACGAAATAGTTAGTCTTAATTGTTAAATCTTAATTCATAGCTAACATTATCATGCTACAATATATCTCAGTTCATAGTATGTAGTGATTGATTACATTTGAATTCCAAGCACCACATGTAATCTTTTTAGAATGCTTTCCCAGGATTGGAATTTTCCTAGAGAAAGACATGCAATCATCATTACAGAATATCCTATGCTAGTTCGTTAGTTGGTATCATAATGTTGTATGCTACAACTTTAAGAACCTTGATGTTTGATGATTATAAATTAATAAATTGCCCTTATTAGTTCCAATAGCTAGGGAATCCGCTACGGAAGACCAGGAAACAAAAGTTAATGAGTCCCTAAAGTAGTAATTGACAGAATATTTTATTGCACTTGCAAGGCAGATAGCTAGCTTTAAAATTAAAATAGTATCTAGTATTCAACATGTGCTATATAATTGTAGCAATAAAGTGTCAACAATATCGTTTAGCAAATCTGATAGCACATTTTTTTTACACGATATTTTTACCAGTTTAGTAGCAATTTACCGACACAGTGCAAGCTTTTACTATAAAGCTGTTTATAGTTGAAATATCGCTACTAGTATGGATAAATAAATTGTGCTCAGAAATGAATTGATAAATGATTTATAGAATCATTTATAACACTTTGTTGGATCTTGGCTGTGTTAATATTCAATTCAAAGTTTGTAAACTAACGAAATTAGAAATAAATTGTGCCTTTCGGTAGATTGTAATCAATCGATGAGAAAAATTTGAAACTTACTTTAAACCGCTGTCAACTTTACTGATTTTACGCGAATTTGCATCCCATAAGAAAATAACTCCTACAATTGATGAGAAAAGAAATATTCTAATTTACATCTCTACATTAATAAAGGGTTATTCGTGTTTTTCTATTCTCCCCGTATAATCCAAATATATCATTGTGACCATAATATCCGAACAAAATAATTTAATAAGTCTCAATCACTTTAATACGACATCATGTCTATGTATGTAGTATATTAAAGTTGAAATAGTGAAGCTAATCAGCGATTAGTTTTATATTGATCACGTTCATAACGTAAACGAGCTAGTAGATCAAATAGGTGTCGTTGGAATAAATCGCTGAAGATAGTGTCGATAGACATGATTATTTCTCACCTCTAACAGTGTTATGATTATCCTCTCTTATTTACTCAGAAAATCACTTAAAAGATAATCCATGGTCACTTCGTAACATAAAATAATATTCTTACCCGATTTATCTTGTATGATAGCCAAATTATCGCCATCTTTATCCCACGATATACCAGCACAAGCACTACAATAATAACATTGGTTCATGATCAACTCAATCGGAGGTTAAATCAATAATCATTGACGAGATAGACATGGGTTGGCAATGGATAAAATCGCTCACTAACCCGGGTAAACTGACTTCTTCTTTCACTTCTCCATGACGATCATAAATATCAACAGAATGGACTGTTGTGCTAAATAAATAAGAAACAGAACTTAGTAGTCATCCATAAAGTTCTCCATTATGACGGATTGATCCTCGACAAATTTATTCGTCTTCTACTCTTCATAAACATTTTCAATACTGATGACAGAATATTTGTAATTCTCAATGACAGGCGATCAAGTTAATATAGGTAACTATTCCCATTGGCTTATCAATAAACCAATACTGTGATAATTCGCTGATCAAGCGCCAACATCGTTACGAAATCGACATGGAACCATCGATGAGCAAGCTTACTGAAGGTTTTCATTCATCGATTGTATACAAGCGCCTCAAAGTGAAGATTAGTATAGACTTACTTGCACGTTGCTAGGTAATTTCCCTGTTGAGGTTGCCATGCAATTTTAGTAGTACCACTGGCCGTTTGGCTTTTCGAACTTAAGGTAAAGACTTTCTAAAATAGCATCAACAAGACGAAGAAGACATAGTCAGCCACTAGCGATCAACATCGATCGCCTTGGCAATAAAACATTCAAACTATTCCCATCCAATTTCATGCGATTGCCTCTATATCTCTCTCACCTTCATTTTGTTTCTCCTTCCTCTCGTCGCTATCTCTAGTCAAGTCCGTTATAACGGTCCAGCAGCCAATGAAATGGCGAGAAGTTCATTAGCGTTTTGTTTTTGTTAGTCGGAATGTTTCCATCGTGGAATAGAGTGCATACTACTGTAGCTGCAGTGAAAAGTACTGTAACCCCGAGACCAGTAGACTCACTTCAACGCCAGTCCTAACCCTATATAGTGGTATATAAAATTTGGACAGACTTATTTCCTCTATGCAATTGAAGTCATAGTGAAAGGTGATCACCAGCAGTAAGCAGTTATTCTTCTTTGCGTTAAGCGGTGTTCCAAACAGTACATAGCTTAATGGAATAATGACTCTCTAAGGACTGTTTCTTGAACTCAACTTGGAGACGAGCCCAAACAGAACTATCAGGGCACGACGTCGGTTGCCTTGATTGAGACTATATCCTAGTAATACTATTGCATGGAGTCCGATGACAAGGATGATATAGCAAGACGAAAAGAAAGCAAATTAATGCGTCTAAAAATTAGCACCGATCGAATCCTCTTTAATACAGTATTAGCATTGCATCGATGTTCTGGACAGCTGACAGTCGATCTACGCAAGCGCTTCAGACCATTACTCGACTTGAGTATGGCACCGGCCAATCCGAGGAAGCCACTGTACGGACAGACAAACGGAATGAAGGATGATTGCTTCTACTGGGTAAAACTTTCAGCTAATAGGAATGGGCACGAAATGAGAATGGAATCGAGTGCAAAACTAGTCGAGACTTCTTGCTATGAGTTTACTTACTGTATGTACTCCATGTATTGCTTGTGAAGAGGATTGTGGGTCGATGTTGCCTCTGTGCTCTGCTAGTACAGTCGCTATTAAATACGACTAGACTAGGCAGCTAAAAGTCGATAGAGATTGCTTGCTTTATCGGTTTCGATTCATCACCATAACAACAGTAGGATTGAAGAGAATGCAATCCACCGCAACAACTTTCATTTTAGCTCAGATGAACTTATTCTTGATTTAGAGCCTGTGGATATCCCTAATACTTATAGCGATTTGTAATGAGGTTTTAATTTTTCGTAAGATTTTGAATATTCTAGTTTAACTCTGACCTTACATGAAGCGATAGGGAATACCGATTCTTGTACAATAGAATTAGTTACGGTATACGCGGCTATATCGCGCTACTCAGGATAATGACTTTGATGTTAGAAATTCTATCTCGTATAGGCATGAAGTAGACAGTACAATAGCTTGATAAAGTACCGCTGGCTTGTCTTTATTGCTCTGATCTAGACTACTATAGGGATGATTCTATACAATGATAGTGTAATACCTCGATCAATTAGGGTATACATTTTACTGAGGCGCTCCTACGACTTACTAGGGCAGCGATATAACATCATCAGATCACAAGTGATAAGTATGAATGTTACGGATATCGCTGTTGCTCTGGAAAATTTCTAAGTGGATGTTTGGGCAACCATTTGAATATTTTAGTTTCCTATGATTATTTGTATATTACAGTCAGTTGTCGATCAGTGATCTCTCAATGAACTTATAAACTAGATCAATCAACGAAATGATGGCTTAGACTGTTTGGGACATCCGTACTCATCTATTCAGTGAATTTTTCTACCTAATTAAAATAAATGAGTTTGATTTGCTAATAGCTTGATTTCGTGCTCCGAAAATCTTGTTCATTCAATAGGGTTAGAATAATCAAAATATCTTATATATTTCTCAGTCCAAGTAAACAATATCGATTAAATCAGAAGAATAGACTACAATATCCGATGAGGACAAATAAGTGATTGAGTAGAAAATTGCTACACCGTTGTGTACTATTTAATAAAGCATCAATAAAACGGAAAGTATCAACTTATAAATACTACCTAACCAACCTAACAGATGGATGAGCTATCAGAAAGAAATTTCAATTTATGCAGCTGATTTATTATTAAAGGAAAGGTTTCATATCATTAATGAATTAGAAATGTCTATATTTCAATTAATTACATCGGACAATAAAAGTGATACTTTCACATTGGACAACTGATTGAATGAATCCATTAACGATTGGTCCATGCTAATATTTTGGTATTAAATGTGCAATCAAACAGTTATGACGAACACCTGCCTTGATATCATAACCAGATTGCATTATATATTACAATCTTTACTACCATGATAAAGTTTAAGATTTAGAATGGATGTTAGTTTTACTTGTAAGTTAATTTCAATTTATTTGGGTACAAACAATTGTCAATTACTTAACCCTATAAGCAAGAGGAAGTATGTTGTCATAAATTCTACTACGTAATCATGATCATTGTAAGAGATTCTAGTGAAAATGAAAATTTGAGGTGTGCCCATAAAAAAATAATTCTTTTACAGTCCAACATTAATTATAGTGATCAACTATAAATGAAAGACAGAGAAGGAATCAATTATCGCGATAATAGTCGACTGTAGCCAATCACAACAACACTTCAGTCTTGTTATTTCATTCTTGCAACAACATCCTAGTAGCTATCGAAGAGAACAGCTAATGCGACTTATTGACACTTTCCTGTAATCAAAATGTGGCTAAAATTGCTCATCCTTGGCTTTTCTACTTTCTTGATTTCCAAATCAGAATTTTTGACTCGTAAGTTCTGTTATAAGGCATAATATGAATAACATGAAGAAAGCTTGATCCATTCTTAAATCACTTATACCCTGTATTGAGCAAGCCGTATACGATATTTTTTTGTATTGATGAGATTTACCTGCTTTTACAGTAAACAAATGAATATTTTATTCAAAGCAAGCTAAATTTTTCTAATGTAATAGATATATCTTCTAGCTGCTGAAAATTTGACAGTATTTAAAATATAACTCTTCAATGCTTATTCACTAATGGAGCTAAAATATTGATGAAAAGTAGGATTTCATTACATCATCTATTAGTAGTTATGCACGTGTACCGATAGACACTAGGCAACACACTAGCAAATAGTACATTAAAATTCTAATTACTTCTTGAAGATGCATTAAGAGTGATTAGGGATCGCTATTAATCTCAATGACTTGGCTTAGCGAAAATTCTTATATTACTTTTAAGAAACAAATTTCAGTAAATTATATTCTGTTATCAATGTTTAATAGACAAAATTTGTTAATATACTGAAAATCTTTGTTAGTCAATTTGAAAATGCGATATCATGGCATTTCTATCCGCAACATCTAAAATTAGGAATACAGATTCAGATTACTATTAGCTTTATTTTCATTTACTTTTAAACATAAGGTTGTATTGGTAGGATGTTAAATTGCTTTGAGTTTACTTTCAATAAAATAAGAAAACTGGTCGGCAGTCACTTAAGGTCTATTACCACACAATGGGTGCCACTTTCTTTGACAAGAGAAATAAAATCAAGCCGATCTTCTATCTTAAAGTAAATTGAATCGATCTTGCTTGATTAGTATATTGTATACTAGACAGAAACTGAGATTTAATATAGTCTTTCTACATCTGGTATCTAGTATTGCATCAGAATAGGGGTTTAATGGTATAGAATGATAACGATTGTCCAATAATGTGATAAGAAAGCGATGAATCAAGATTTAGCCTTAGTTCTTTATGCAAGATAGGTACGCCACACGGAAAAATTGCATCAGATGTTGTTGTAATTTTGCTCGTTAATGACTAGTACTATTTTCCTAGTGATTGAAACACGTAATAGGTACCTAATATCATTTCAATTCCTAAGATTAATGCTTAAAAATACTTAATGAAATTAAATATATGTAGACTAAATTGAAAGCTGGATTTGATGTAAAGTCGATTTTGGTAAAAATTATGAGATATAGAATAAAAATTCTCTTTCTGCACTTCGTTCAATGTAGTGCAGTAAAGTTTATAGATACTTGTATGTCTACCCCAAGCTATATTCATTTTAACATTGCTATTAAATAAATTTCTAGCATTATATTTCTTACTAATAGTCAAATTTTAGAATATAAAGCAAAAATATAGATAAATTCAGCATATGCTCTAAGATCCTAATTTAGGTTTATGTTGTGGGGTATTGCTAACAGTAATGGTAACAAACGTAATTACTATTGATTTTGGAAATAAAAAATAGGTTTTAATGGTATCTTTACTTACATCTATCAAGTTTAATGCATATTTTGATTCCTTAGGTAAAATATTTTGATATTTCTACATTGTGGTTCTTTCCAAATTGACTAAAATGCCTAACTACAATTCTCTCAACGCTTACTAGTCTACAAAAATGAGTAATTCCTCGTATTGATGAAAATAAACAAATTATCATACCCTACAATATGGATTGTTTAATTTGATGATAATTTGTGGGAAAAGTTTGTACCGAAAATTAAAAGTATTATATTTAACTTCTTTCTATACTGAAATAATGGTAGATGGGCTTGTAAATGTCTGTCTGCGATGGGAAATATGAAATCTCGGGAGATATTGAGTGTATTTAAATTAACGCTTAAGTTTCTGACGCACTAAACAAATTGCTATACTCTACAATACTGAATTAGCATACTGGTACATATGCTTATAAATATTCGCCTAAGGTGGATAATACAAAATTTCCGGAGATGCTGAGTGTACTTAAATTTACGCCTAAGTTTTTAGCGCGGTAAATAATATTAATTAATTCTATATTTAAAAATACTATATTTTAATCATCTAGCTTTCATAATTTGTTGGATTCATTTCTATCTCCTACAGTCATATGTAATAGACAGTTATTTCCCTATATTACTGAAAGCTAATTATTATTACTTAAATATAATTTTAATTACTAATGGTAACTCATCTCATTTAGAGCGAGTAGATTTATTATTTTTTAAGAACTAGACTTTATTTTTTCGACATTTTCTCACATATTATAAGCGGTAAATCAATTAACGGATCTGATACGATTTCTTATTTTGATACTACTTATTAGGTTGCTAAACGTTCCAATTAGATGGAATAAAATGACAACAAGTTAAGCAACTACTATAGGATATAATAAATCTATTAAATCATTTCGTTTTAAATATCGAGAATTGGAAAATAATCATTTTTCTTCTGAAAATATCTGCAATTCAACGTTCACTTACTTATTATCCTTCATTATCCTAAAATCGATCTCGTATCGATTCAGCTATAAAATCATATCTTATCACCAGCTGTATATCTCGACTAGATCGCAATTGATTACTCTGCCATTGGTACGATATTTCTGCATTGATACGTAAAACTAGGCTCGGATTAATTAACAGGTTTAACAAACCTAATTAATTTTATTTTAACGTTCCTATCGCTGGCTCTATCAGAATAGATAGAAAGAACAAAGCACTATTATTACTATTATGAAAAGAACATAATTTTACTCAATTTTAATAATTAGCATGTCGCAGTAGTCGATTTATTATAATTGTTTACGGAATAATTAATAAATAATCGTAATCTTGCTCCTAGTGAGAATACTTACAGTGCTATGCAATATTTTCCGCATTAGTATTTTCACGGAAACTATAATACAATTTCTTTTGTAGCAAAGCTTTATACCAAGATTACGCAACTTCTATATTTAGTCGCGCCATAGCTACCGTCCGTACCTTAGAGCTTCATATTCATTAAATAAGTTTTCCGGTTTATTCCACATGTCCTATGGTGATGATTTCTAAATGATATGTTGCTAAATTCGCATTTTTCAATTTTGGCGTAAATATTTTCGCTAATGTGGATTGTTGATGGTTATATAACTATGAATTAATTAACAGTTCAATATTTTCTAAATGCAGTAATAACATATTAGCGAATTGATTACATCCTAGAAACAATGCAGTCGATGTTTGCCTATTATTATCATTTTCGTAAATTAACATAAATGCATCAGTAATTATATTCTATTAATATGAGGTTGTAGCTTTAAAGTTGTGAGAATATCAAGGATAGACGTAAATAATCACTGAATTTCAATTAGATCGTTAGTTAAATAGAATACTGTACTAGATTTTTTGGAATTAAGCTACAATTCAAAGAATAGAGAACTCGATTGTCAAAATAATCTCAAGCCCGCCAGTTCTGGTCATTTAATCGACTCAAATAGTATAGAAAGAGTCCATAAATTACGAAAGCCATTACGTTTTCGACAGTATCTGGGCTGAATCTTGTTATTTTATAGATCACTTTAGATGAGTTTTGATATTTGCGTACAGACAGGAACGAAAATAAGATTGCAACATAGGAGTGTTTGTTCATTTGTCGTTAAAGAGACACTTTTCTTAAGTAAGTAAATAAAGCAATGAGAACTTTCCCATACACTATATATTCTGTCTTTCAAACGATTTTTAGCGTAGTAGCACAATCGAAAACTACTTATTTAATAAGTTATTGTAATTTAATTTTGCTTAAAAATTACTTTTTCGAAACATTCGACCACATTACTAACCTATAGTTTTAGCAAAATATCTTCCTCAAGGATAAAAAGACAATTATGTATGGTCCATATTTTAACATAGAAATTCTTTTATCTAGTAGGACCGTTAAGGTATTTATCTCTTTATTTAATTTATTAGATAGAGGCCTTAATTAAAATTGAGAGTTTAAGACAGTACTGTTTTTATTTTTCTATTTATTTTTACATCTTTGAAAAGAGAATGCCTCAAAAATATTGATGCACATACATAAATAATTGGATAATCAACTTGTTTATAAATTGCATTAATCTTTTTTGGAGGTGACAATGAATTCTCGGCTTTGACCTTCATGTAGAATAAGGGCAATTTATTTCTTTTATAATTGATACGTTTTAGTTTGTCATAGTTTCTTTCCAAGCGATGCGAAATATTTTATAGGATCACATAGAGTTAACTTGATTCAGATTTCGAAATAGGGCTATCTGAAGAATGAATACTTAAATAAAGCATTCCTGGAGTTGTAAGCACTTTCAGTAATATTTTCCGTTTAACCTTATGTTAAAAAATTCAGCTTATAACTCTAAATTGGCAATAAAATCTATGCCAGCATTGGATCTGTCTACAAATTGTTTGGTTTGATTTAAAGCCACTTTATTACTAAGTAGAAATTTATTTCTAAAACTTAACTCTATATAGATTAATCAGCAGCGATCAATCAATTTAGGTTTATAGGCCATCACGTAAAATATGACAATTAAATTCGTTAATTGCGATAATGTTAAGTTTTATTTCTTGAAATATTCATAGTTAGATTGGAATTAAGAATATTAAATCTTAAAATTGTTTATGATCTTTAACAGCAACATCAAAAGAATTTGAAAAGCCTTTCCATCAAATGTATTTATTCGAAAATTCTACATCCTCTTGGAATTACTCTGATAAAAACATTAATTTAAATTTGCTATTGGATAACGGTTAGTATTAAACATTATAAGAATCAGGCAGTATAATTATGATTGTCAGCTTAGTTAATTATTCATAAGTTTAATGTGCAGACCTTTCAGCAGAAATGTACGAGATAAGATAATTTTAGAATAACAGTAAAACAATTTTAAGTAGTGATATACAGCAACTATTTAAATACATAATAACTCGTGGAGTGAGATAAAATTTCCTGATCAGGTACAGAAAAGAGCTAAAAATTGATAGTAACTCATAAAACTTAAACCCTTTTGCCATCGAGCAATTGATACAAAGCATTGCACCTTCAAGAATCTGTGAAATAAGTTATTTATACAGTAGTAGAAAAAAATTACTATGTAAATATTAAAAAAAAATGGTAATTAATTAATTCATAATACAGCCAGTAGAACAATATAAACTTTTTGGATCGAATCGCTTCGGAAATTGGGCTAGAAGAATTGAATAGCCACTTATTAATATGTAGTTAATCTGCCATTAAATGATAGAACATAAAATTTTGAACTCCAATAGTCTATAATATACCTTAGAAACTTTCCTGATAAAATTGCAACAGAAAATTGGCTAAAAATTGTAAAACTGCTTGATTATATTTATTTTTTCTGTCATTAAATGATAAGATGACAGGTTCAAACTTCATTAATTAATTTATAATTTATTTTATAAATTTTCTAATCAACTAGCTGCAGAAAATGGGGTAAAAAAAATTAAATTGCTGCTCTTTAATCCGTAATTAGTTGTCTTGTCATTAAATGATGAAATATTAGGTTTTTAACTCATTTGTTTATATAATTTATAATTTACATTTTTTTATCGAGTAAGGCTAGAAAGTTAATAAATCGTGATACACAGGAATAATTCTTGGCTTACACTCACTACAATTCGTTGAGAAGAATAATCATACTCAATAAATAACTATGAAAATGACCTTGAGTTCCTAGTTGGCTTTTATCTTATTGTTAGCTTTAAAATGATACGATATGAAATTAAATGATATTTAATGAGATGTTATAATGTTATTTCTTAGTTACCCTATCGGATGGCAGTTTGCGCCTCGTCGATGGAAGAAATCCTCACGAAGGACGTATTGAAGTTTATTACAAAGGAATATGGGGAACAGTTTGCGGTAGAGGGTTTAGCCAAAAGGAAGCCGATGTAGTTTGCCGACAACTTGGATATGAGAAAGCAGATTTTTGCTGTCCAGAGTTTGCTATGGGACAAGGAATAATTTGGCTTAATTGGATCGCTTGTCCTACTGGTTACGAAAGCCATATTTTGGAATGCAACCGTAGTAACTGGGGTCACAGTTTCTATTGCACATGTC